CACGCTAAAAAATGTACAAACTGATCTATCAACAGCGTGCTAAAAGGATTTGGTCTTTAAAATGTGCTAAATAGCGCCTCTTATCCATTTAGTACTTTTTCTGCAATGAATATGCAATATGGGGCGTTTACACGCAAAAGTGCGTCTTGTGGGAGGAGAACATGTAAATATATTAATTTAGCACTCGCAAAGTGATTTATCAAACCTGAAAGCAATTTTGCTAACGGTATCTGACTCTATATTTAACACGTTTCAAAAGAAGGTGCAAATGGTCTGTATGCGTAATTGCGCACACATGGCAGCGGTTATTGTCGCAAGAAGGAGACACCGAAATGAAGCAAGGAGACGCAGAGAACGAATTTTTTCACTCCGTGTGAATATTTTTGGAATGAAGGAGGAAACGATCATCAAAACATTTCGTTTATCCAGCCTTGCCATTTTGGAGCTGCAATTCCAGTGATTTGCTCCTCACAGAGCGTCAGCTGTACTTGTTCCTCAATGCTGGTCAGAGGCATCTTATCTACTGTGCCCCCTCCTGTTTTGTTCGCAGATGTTTTGTTATATGCCAGTTTTCTTTGGTTCGCCTTCTAATATCCTGGTATCTTCTTTTTACTTCATCCACTGTTCGCAAGGTTTCACCAACAGCGTTTACTTTATTACAGATTTGTTCACATATAGCGTTCCTCTGTGTGACAGTCACTCTTCTTTGCTGTAGCTCACTTAAATGTTTGTTGGCTTCATCCACCAATACCTCCATTTCCATGGGGTCGAATTTCCTTTTGCGCCTTCTGCTGTCCAAACTCGCCATGCCGCAAACCACAAAACGCGCAAAACCATAATTTAAACAGTTTTGCACCTGTCACCAGTTACGCAATCGCTCTTGTTAAATCACCCGCAAACCATGGTTCAGCCCCTCGCGCAAAATTCCAGTTTGTGAGCGCAAATTACTGCACGCAAAATTGGATCTTGATAAATCCGGCCCATTATGTTTCTGGTGCAGAGAGCTGAGTGCACTTGAACATTTTCAGAGCTTGGTCACATGTGGTAGCATGTACACTATATTGCCAAAAGTATTTGCTCACCTGCCTTGACTCACATATGAGCTTAAGTGACATCCCGTTCCTAATCCATAGGGTTCAATATGACGTCGGTCCACCCTTTGCAGCTAGAACAGCTTCAACTCTTCTGGGAAGGCTGTCCACAAGGTTTAGGAGTGTGTTTATGGGAATTTTTGACCATTCTTCCAGAAGCGCATTTGTGAGGTCGCACACTGATGTTGGACGAGAAGGCCTGGCTCTCAGTCTCCGCTCTAATTCATCCCAAAGGTGTTCTATCGGGTTGAGGTCAGGACTCTGTGCAGGCCAGTCAAGTTCATCCACACCAGACTCTGTCATCCATGTCTTTATGGACCTTGCTTTGTGCACTGGTGCACAGTCATGTTGGAAGAGGAAGGGGCCAGCTCCAAACTGTTCCCACAAAGTTGGGAGCATGGAATTGTCCAAAATGTCTTGGTATGCTGAAGCATTCAGAGTTCCTTTCACTGGAACTAAGGGGCCAAGCCCAGCTCCTGAAAAACAACCTCACACCATAATCCCCCCTCCACCAAACTTTACACTTGGCACAATGCAGTCAGACAAGTACCGTTCTCCTGGCAACCGCCAAACCCAGACCCGTCCATCAGATTGCCAGATGGAGAAGCGCGATTCGTCACTCCAGAGAACGCGTCTCCACTGCTCTAGAGTCCAGTGGCGGCGTGCTTTACACCACCGCATCCGACGCTTTGCATTGCACTTGGTGATGTATGGCTTGGATGCAGCTGCTCGACCATGGAAACCCATTCCATGAAGCTCTCTGCGCACTGTTCTTGAGCTAATCTGAAGGCCACATGAAGTTTGGAGGTCTGTAGTGATTGACTCTGCAGAAAGTTGGCGACCTCTTCGCACTATGCGCGTCAGCATCCGCTGACCCCGCTCCGTCAGTTTACGTGGCCTACCACTTCGTGGCTGAGTTGCTGTCGTTCCCAAACACTTCCATTTTCTTATAATACAGCTGACAGTTGACTGTGGAATATTTAGGAGCGAGGAAATTTCACGACTGGATTTGTTGCACAGGTGGCATCCTATCACAGTTCCACGCTGGAATTCACTGAGCTCCTGAGAGCGACCCATTCTTTCACAAATGTTTGTAAAAACAGTCTGCATGCCTAGGTGCTTGAATTTATACACCTGTGGCCATGGAAGTGATTGGAACACCTGATTCCAATAATTTGGATGGGTGAGCAAATACTTTTGGCAATATAGTGTATATATTTGCCTTTTTTTATTGGAATGTGCCGTTAAAGCTTTAGTACTGGAGGGTAAAAATCATCACATTCCTTTTTATTCATTTTATCTAAGAAGTTAGAAAAAAAAACATTTAGAGATAAACTCGATGTTTATCCAGATATATCAGTTTTGATATTTTCCAAAGTGAAGGTTACCAACATAAAGTAATACTTAATTGTAGATGGGAAAACATTTAAGAATTCTTTTTAAGATTTTATGCAATTTCTTTTCAATGCCTTTGAGTCAAGACTGTCAAGGTAACCTTCTCGGTAACAAGTTTTTTGGTCCTTTTTTTTTTTTTTTTTACCACCGTTGTACATCTCTAAACTAAAATTCTTCTCCATTCGCTTTTTTAATTAGTCTCGCTATATTAAAATTGCTCAGAAAGACTCAATAAACATTCAGTTTGTTTTGCCAAATCATCTGGACTTTGACTAGGCCATCTGACCCATAAATTTAATTGGATCTAATCTATTCCTCTGTAGCTATAAGCAAATGATTATGGATGTTTTGTTCCTGTAAGGTTAATCCCTTTCCCTTTCTTAGTTATTTTGAAGTCTCTCATGGTGGATACTCTGTCCCTTAAAGCTATAGTTGGTAATTCTGTTCAGAAATGCTTTTTGTTATTTTAAGTGAAATGGTCCTTCTATCTTGAGAGTGATGAATACATTATCAATTCAGATAAAAGAAAGAAAAAAAAATCCGATGCCTGTGAGAGCTGCCAGCCTCCAAAAACTCTGACCAATCCCTGCTATTTGGCCTGAATGGAAAAACCAATCAGAAGCATTATTCTCCTCCCTCCTCCTCCACGTGCACGGTCATCAATTTTGGCATTTCTAGAGTTATTCACAAGGTTAGGGTTAGGTAAGTATTTAATATGCTCAAACTTGTATAGTTACTTTTGTTAAACCAAGCCTTTTACCTTGAAAATCACCAGAATAGTATAGTTTATTTACAGGTCAATGAGACATGAGGTAATTAGGTTGAAGTCCAAAATATATTGAAAGAAATGTCTGAGTCGGCTCTGCTCTGCTTCGTCGAGTTCTGCTGTGAGATATGCGTTTGATTTTAGTTGGGAGGACGTAGCTTTCAATGGAGGGGGGAGGAGAACTGCTGCTTTCGAATCTTGCTAGGTCTCCAACATAACCAAACAATGGTTTCATGTCTACAAGAAGGGACAGAGCAGACATTACCTTTTCAGGAAGCTTAGGTCCTGACTGCAGCACGATGCTGCATAGCTTCTATCAGTCTGTTGTGGAGAGTTTGATCTTTTCTAACAGCATCAGCGCAAATGACTTAAAAAAACTCAAAAATCTAATACAAAAGGCTAGAACCCCTGGAGATGATTTTACAAGGGACAATTCTTCATAAAATGAAGATAACAGTAAGCATCTTCTTTAAAAGGCTTCTTTAGTTCCTTTAAATCAATACTAAAAACACATTTGTTTAGGATTGCCTTCGACTGCTCTAGTTAAACAGTTCAACTGAAACATCATTAGTTAAATTTTTTTATTTTCTTTAGTCCAACTGTTTTTAATATTCTTTTTTGTTTCTGCATTTTGTATTAAATTTTTTTCTACTTGCTTTGATTCTGTTTTATTTTCCTATATTTTAATCATGTAAAGCACTTTGCATTGTCTTTGTACTGAATTGTGCTATACAAATAAATGTGCCTTGCCTTGCCTTTAAAAGGCTGTTGAACAATAACAGTGTCTTGAGTCAGAGGCGTCTCAATATCCATCGCAAGACAGCCTGCTACAGAAGATCCCCACTGACTACAGTTATCAATACCACTGGTTTAAAAAACATATTATTACTGCAACATTTCAGTGCATTTAGGGACTAATAAAGTATTTTTTAATTAAATTGAATGCTATTGTCATCGCTATGCTCCACCTTGGTCAGTGTGTTTAGGATGACATGCAGAGCAGGTTTTCCTTTATAAACCATTTTACAAGTAAGAATCTTCCAATATGCTTTGAGACCTGTATTTTATGGAAAACTTAGAACTTTGCAGAACTTTTTTCCTAACATAAGGCAATAAATTTCATGTCTAATAGTGTTTCTGTGGACAAATTCTAGCATCTAAGTTGTGGAGCTTTACAGCTCCTCTGCAGTATGGGCATCCTAGCTGCTAATGTGATTAAGGATTTCCCTGCCCAGCATGTCAGCTTATGTGGATGACTGTGTTTAAATAGGTTTGCAATAGTTTTATGCTTTCCATATGATGGACTGAATAGACGTCTGCAAGTTACTGAAAGAAGGATATAATCTAATTCTGTTTTGAACCTTTCTAAAGCAAACTGTCTGTTGTGTTTCTTGGTCTTTGTGCTCGTTTGTTCTGCAACACTCTCTTAAAAAAAATCCTCAAAGAACAGCTGGAATCTATACCCAGATTAGACTTGGTATTCCCCATGGTGAAGTGGTTAAAGGTATCATCGCCCGGAAATCGGACTGTTTCATGTTAAAATGTGTGCGTTGGGCCTTGGTTCAAACCTGCTGCCCAATCCAAGTGTGAAAGTGACTTTTTTTTAAGTGGGCTCTTGTTAAAACCAGAAAATCCCTCAAGGGTGCACTCTTAAAGAGCACAATTTTGGTCCTCCTCCTTGATTTACGTCATTCGTAGAAGCGTGCTTACATAAACCAGCCTTGCTATCATCACGGCTGAGATTCCAACGATCAGGGACTCGCCTACAGGCAGTTGGTAAGTGTTGCTGCTTGTACAACTTATTATCTGCTGTGTAAGAAACTGGGAAGCAATGGTGGACGAACCATTGAAAGCTGCTGATGTGGCTAACGCTACATCCTTATGAACACCCATACACACAAATTAGTCAAATTTACTTGCATTCTGTAAAGTAAACAAACAGTAAATGGCACTCTTAACTTATTTTCTGATAGCAGTTTGTAGGACTGAATTATAGTTTCGGTCGGATGGGGTATTTATACATATGTTCACCACACTGTCCAGATTTTTATTTGTAAAAATATTTTCCACCCTCTCTTTATCTATCAGTTGGATTCAAAATACAGTGAAGTATGTGGTTTTGACATTAGAAGAGGTAAAAACCTTTACGTTTTCTTGATGAAGGCTCTGCACCTCTACAGAGATACAATGCTAAAAGCTAAAGCATTGTCTCATAGTCACATGTAATCTGTGTGAATCCTCTTAAGGTGAGAATGACTTTCTTCTGGGTTCAAAGCATGGTTTCAGGGCTATATGCAGCAAAAAAACAGGAATGTGTGTGTGTGTTCGAGTGGTTGTGTGCTCTGGTGGTTGCTTTGATGATTAGTCCCAAGAGTTTGGCATTAGTGTATGTTTGAGGTTCAAGGAGAAAGAGGAATAAAGGACAAGGGAGAGAAAAAAGGAGACAGGGAGGGGCAGAGAAGAGGCTGAGGGTCAGCCAAACAAAAGGCTCTTTTTGCTGCAGTCCTCTGGGTCAGGGCTTAGAGGGCAGGAAGTAGTGGAACAATATCCGGCACTTCAGGTTAGGACCTCACACCCCCAACAGTCTTAAGGTTCTCCCCCGTGCACATACACGCTCACAGGCACACAGGTCCCCCAGTGGGTCTTGACAATGTATTTTGATCAAAGGCAGACTCTATTTTGAGGTGGGGGGGAGCAGTGTGGGAGATTAGTCATGGAGGGAGTTATGTGTGTGTTTGTGTGCTGTGGGTCAGCAGGTCTGGAGTCATTTCACCAAAGCCTTCCGTTTATGAATTTCTTAGATCAGCAGTTCACATCATAATTACTATATCCTTTTCTAAAGGTGCAAGTTGTAGATGCAGTTGAAAATTTTTGTTTTATGGCTGGTGATTTATAACCTGGCTCCGCCAGATGGATTTGCTCCGCATATCCATCTGGAAACCTTCCGTAGAAGTAATTTTGGGAAAGGGCGAAAATACTGGTTAGCTGATTGGCCTATATTGGTGATAGACGGGCCAAATAAACCAATCAGATCAACGAAGCATATGACGTAACAGAGCGACGACGAAGAGGAGCCAATTGATAGATCAAACTCTTGCCGAAACCAGTCGGGAGAAGAGCGAAAACATCTTTTCCTCTGAGAAAAGCCTCCAGAGCAGTGTTTTGCTCTTCTTTCAGTGAAGAAATACTCTGTAATTCCGATAAAACTTGCTCGATAGCCATGCTAACGCTAGTTTCATCGGCTGAAGCCGCCATGTTCTTTAGACTGAACTGTCGCGCTTCTCGTTGCGTCACACCTCAACCTGCCTCAAAGCCAACGCTGATTGGACGTTCGTTTGGTGAACGGCTCCAAATTTTCTTCAACGGAGAGTCTCCAGACTGACTAGCGAGTGAAATCTTGAGAGCTCGCGAGATCAGGATGGTCTCACGAGGCTAGGTGATTTACTAACAGTGATGGGACTAACGGCGTTGAAACTAACGCCGTTACTAACGCCGTTACCTTGTTTTAGTAACGAGTAATCTAACTAATTACTTTGACTGTAACTATAACGCAGTTACCATTGCAGACACCCCGTTACTGCGCGTTACTCAGGTCGCACAATGAACCTTTTTTCATGATAGGACTCGTGCGCAGCTGCGTGAAGCTGACACCCCACCCACGTCAAAAAACTCTGCAAATAGACTGAATGGTTAGTGCAACGTTAGTGCAGATTTGTGCAGAAAAAAATATTGTTTGTGCTACTTTTGTTTAAGAGATATTAAAGATTATTTTTTAGGTCATCAAGAGGTGCGCGCCTTGTCATGAGAGAGGGGAGGATGAGATTCCGTCTGTCAGTTGAAAAGGTGGGTGTTTCTGCTGGTGGGTGTTAACGTACAGCACACAAAGAGAGATGGAGAGTGAGGATGACTCCAGCAGCAAAACAGCGTTTTCCACATGGAAATACCGGTGTTACGTAGAGCTGCGTTTCCCCATCACATAACGGTTTCCTCTGCATCTCCACACAGCGCAGGCGGCAAGAGTCACCGCGCAAGCGGCAGGAAACGCGCATGCTCGCTAAAGGCGCGCAACAGTCGCTCTGTGCTCGCGCCACAGGAGAACTATGGAGAGCGTGAACGATCAAATGAACCTGACAACAGCCAGAAATGATAGCCTATATGGAGAAAGGGAGAAATCTGGATGGATGGATGGATGGATGGATGGATGGATGGATGGATGGATGGATGGATGGATGGATGGATGGATGGATGGATACTCTGCCTTCTCAACCTACTGTATTTTTTATTTTAAACATTATTTGATGGCCTTTGTGGCAGGGATGGAGATCCATATTTTATGTCACATGCAGAGTATAGATCTAGATAGATAGATAGATAGATAGATAGATAGATAGATAGATAGATAGATAGATAGATAGATAGATAGATAGGTAGATAGATAGATAGATAGATAGATAGATAGATAGATAGATAGATAGATAGATGGATAGATAGATGTTGCAGTATCTATAACAACCCAAACACACAGGATTTCAGAATTAGACATCCCCAGTTATTAATTTCAAATACTCACCAGATCTGAATGTCCTGTTATAAAACTTCACATCGCGTTCCCCCCTGATGTCATTTACGTTGAGTTGCAATAAATGCTAAACTGTCTGCAGGTTCTTGTCTTTGTCGTCCGCTCTATTCAGCTGGCTTTGGAAACAAACGGCGAGAAGGTGGGGGCCGGGTGGTGAGATTTACGGGGGCGAGAAACGGAAAAGTAACGCAATAGTTACTTTTACTAGTAACTAGTTACTTTTATTGTGGAGTAACTCAGTTAGTAACTCAGTTACTTTTTGGGAGAAGTAACTAGTAACTATAACTAATTACTTTTTCAAAGTAACGTGCCCAACACTGTTTACTAACTGGTAACTTGAGTACAGTTACCAATGTAGGTTGGAACTTCTACTCCAGTTTACCTGACCAGCTTTTTAAGTTTCACAAAACAGAGGTATTTTTAGGGTTATATGAATAGAATAACTTCTCAAAGTGGAAAAACAACAGGTTTCAGAGTATCGTCGTCCCTGAAACTACAGGACATCCAACAGACTAATGTAAATATTACATGGTAAATAATAGCTTATAGCTATGATTTAAATCTGACCTTTTTTTAAACAATACAACTTGTGATACATTTGATGCGTTTTCTTTTTTCTTTTTTTTTAGTTAAAATCGTACTTTGCTTTAAAAGATTGATCATAGAAAACTTCGAAGCACAACATTTATTACAATCTTTACTGTGTCCAACAGTGAAAGCAGAGAGTAATTTCTCATTAAATCCTTTTTATATTTTAAATGTTTATCTGTAAAGATCCAAATCAGATGCTTTCTGTCTTTTAGGTTTCTTTTTTTCTTTTTCTTTTGTGATTTCTATTTATTTTTTGATAATAACAATCAGTATTCCTCAAATATTGTTGGGAGCTGGAGAAATCCCATCTTTCTCCAGCAGAGTCCGCCGTGGATCCTCTGAGGGAGCTCCCTGCACAGCTGCAGCTCGTCAAGATCATCAGAGGATCCACTACTTAAGCTGTCTTCAGACCTTGCCTCAACGCCGCAGTGTTGTTCCAGTTGGTCAGCGCTAAAGCCTAGATCCTCTGAGTATCTCCATGACTTTGAATCCAGTCTGGATTCTAACTATTATCTCTGTCTTCCAGGAAACCTGTGCCTCCTCTGAGAAAGCTCTGGAAGAGCTAACCTGCCGAGCCGAACCTCTGAGCCAAACCCTGAAGATCCCTCTGAGAAACCTCAAGCAGCTCAGGACAGAGCTGGGACTTCCAAGCCAAGGTCTGTTCTAACAAGACGTGAGACGCTGAAGCAGCTAACGGACTCTGCTGATAAACCCTTCTCCAGAACCAACAGTGACTCTCCCAAAGTTAACCTCAAGAACCCTCAAGGTACAATCAGTGAACTTCTGGAAGTAAAACCCTGCCAGCAAACCGCTAACTGTGCTGTCTCTCACGCAGACTCCGGTGAACCAGTATCCAGGCCCCGAACCAGAATCAGTACATTCTGTGTGTTTGTGCTTTAATAAACTGTTGAACTCTTCATCCTTGTGTCCGTCAGTGGTGTTCTGCATAACTGGGTCGCCTTCAGTGAACCCATCATGACAAATATAGGAAAATAAATTGGATAGCAGAGTCATGAGGCTGTTTAGAGAATTTCACACCACATTGTAGCTCTGAGCTACTGTTTCTAGATCCTATTCCTTCCTTTCCTGAAAACAGTCAGGGCTGAGTGAGCAAAGAACTGCTTTTCTAAATCCACACAGCATTTAGCCTTTTGGATGACATTATTGGATGGAAATGTATGTGTATGCCAAATATGGACAGCCTTTAGAAAAAGATCCACAAAAAATGCAAATGACCAAAATGTGGTGAACAGCTATAGCTTTGGACTATAAAACCTGTTAACATATGAAGCTGTGTACACATAAGATGGGGAATAAGGTATTTTTGATCTGTGAAGTGGGCTTTGACTAAAAGGCATGTTTCACAAAGGAATCTGGGAATGGATGCACCAGATAGGAGCACATTAACAATCAGTAGGAAGTAGGGCTGGGCAATTAATCTTATTTGCAATATAATTGCAATTTAGGGAAAATGCTATTTGCAATTCACAGAAGTGCTTAATGTTAGTCACAATAGATTTAACAACAGTAAGACACTAAATTTCTCCTTCCAGCCCTTTAGGTGGCGGTGATATGATTAAAGTGGGTATGCTGTTGCACAGAATGG